CCTTTTTATTGAACCAGAGGGGTTGACAGTAATTTTTTCTTAACGAGTTGAATCCTTTAAAATTCCTATGCCAATCCTTTATGCCAAAGGAGACGTTAATTTCTGCAAATTTCATCCATTCCGGAACTCAAATTTTTGTTTTTTTAAGAAAATGATACACCATTTCTTAGTGAATCGGAGAGTGATACCATGTCTTGAGTGAGACACAAATCTAGTCCCATGCGAATACAAATGAATGGAGAGATGTCATAAAGTGAGTTAAAGTGAGTGTAACTCAACTGATTAAGTTACTTGCATTGGAAATTAACCCACCCGGATTTAAGTCCTAAACTTATTATAGGTACTTGAATTTATAACTAATTATTCTTTTAAAGGTAAATAGGTGATCTACATTCTTATTGACAGTGAGACTTGATAGTGAGACGTTTATGGTTTCTCAACATATGCCAACCCATTTTAATTTCGAAGGTTCTCGTGTAGAAGTAGAATTTGTGTGTATATGTTTATATAGAAGTGAGCATGTGCGTGTAGTGAGCGTACCTGTTTGTAGTGTAGTAGTACTTCAAAGAAACAAAAGAACGGAGATGTCTAGAACTAGTAAGTTTATAGGAGATACCATTGCCACGTAATCGTTATCGAGTGGGATAATATAACAGATAAAAAGCACAGAAGCTAAGGTGGAAGGGTAGGAAGAAAAGGGACCATAATATGGGGGGATTAACCATTTTTTTAATGAAAGAGGATTCACCATGTTCAAAAGGGAAAAGTTATTAGGGTTATGTGGCTGAAGCTGCGCTAGTGACCAATGAATATCAACAATGAGACGTACAAATTACGCAAGCTAGGAAGGATAATTTTAATTTCGTAAGAAAATATGAATCAAATAATTGGATAAAGCTAGGATATAGTGCACCACTACATAGTACATTATTTTCCCTAGCTAATGAGAAAGCGGTCCCCATTTTGATTCCTTTCCTCCATAATCAGTTCTATGGCATCAGCAACCCATTCTCACATTATCTGAAAAAGCAGTACGTACCATTCTCAGAAAGCAACATATATATCCCTGTAGCAGTCACAAGTTTATATCTATGATCAGAAGATAATTAAATTCAACTTTGTGGAAATAGTACGTACTACCAATGCTTATAATTGAATAGAATAAAAGGACTACTTGACCCCAACAGCGCAATGAATCAAATAGAACTTCACCATGTAAATAAATTATGTTTAACTTTAATGTTGCTTTTTTTTCGCATACATAATAAATTATGATACAAGTATTATTGTAAGGCACTACGGACCTTTTTTTTAAAATGACACTACGGGCCTTTTCTTTGGTCCAATTAAAAACACAGCAGAAATAAGACATATTATCTTAATTCGTATGTTTGTGATGATTTAAAATTTTGTTCAGAAGATCATCATTTATGAACCTCGCAAAAAGGGTCTTTTTAATAATAGGAATCAAACCTCACAAGTCACAACAAGTAGTTCATTTCACATTAATCAGGAAAAAGATGTGTTCCAAAGGAGCCTTAAAAGGAAAATATTGTGAGATTTACCCATGGTACGCTGGCATATATAAGCAACTCAAGGATAGGAGCTTTTGTGCAGCAGGGGAGACAGAATCTCCAAATTTCATTTGTTGGAAGGGGCTAATAATACTAATCTTTTAAACTTTTAAGAAAGCTATAAATACATACTCCCTCCGTATTTTAATGTATGACGCCGTTGACTTTTCGACCAACGTTTAACCATTCGTTTTAATCAAATATTTTGTGAAAATATGAAAAGATTTATGTCATGCTTAAAGAACATTTGATGACGAATCAAGTCATAATAAAATAAATGATAATTATATAAATTTTTTGAATAAGACGAATGGTCAAATGTTAGACAAAAAGTCAACGGCGTCATATATTAAAATATGGAGGTAGTAATTTACAACTACCAAACTTGACGGAGGCCAGGCCCCTGAGGCCCCTCACTGACTCGCCCATATTTAATTTGTCCCCCCTATGTCCAAAGAAAAATCTAATTCTAGGTATATATCTGGACTACGTGCATATTCAGATACATCTTCAGGATTGGACTTTTTTAGGAATGGTGAGAGTATGCTCTTACATTATATAGAAGCATACATATGTAAACTTTCAAAATTGCATACGCATCACAAAAGTTAAATGTACAGGCACGATTGTGGATATTAAGTACTAGTAGCTAGTAACTAACTTGTTAGGGGAAACGTAAAACTGAAAAAGAAAATCAGATCCAGCTTAATGATTTTTGTTTGAAGACATATCTACTAATGGTCCCTAAAGATACATGGTATATATGGCTAGATCTTCTGAAAATGAGTTAAAATGGGTGTGGCCACATCAAGTTGATTTGTCAAACATACTGGTCCTTCTGGTCCAATCAGAAAAGAAATAAAGGAAAGTATCTTTCAAACAAAAAGCACTCAATAATTGTCCTATATTTTCAAGCCTTTTTTATTCAAGCTCACATGGATAAACAAATAAATGGTATTAACCATTTCCTATTGGACGTGTGCTTGGCAACTATCAAATGGTTTAGTTGCCTAAGAACTTTTTTTTTACTCATCTCGACAAATTAAAGGAGTTACTTCCTCTTTTTTTTTCTAGGGCCTCCAATCAAGCACTCCCCACCCTCCTCCCCGGCCAAGTGTGTTGCAATACCTCTTCAAGTATCTAATATAAGATTTTTCTTCCCCATCGTCATATTAATAAAGTGAAATGCATCTCTCCTGCATTTTCGAGGAAAAAAAGATATTCTTCCCTGGGTATAACTAGAATTTCTTGCTTGATCATAAAGCCAATGTAATGTGCACATAGTTTAGAACTATAAAAAAGGGCAAAAAAAAAAACTCTAGAGCAAGCCACAATTTTTTTTAAAAAAAACACTCATCACCAAGACAATGAACTTGTGAAAGAGGCAAAGGGATAAATAAATAACCTAACAAACACAAAGACTTATAACCAATTAACCAAATCACAAAAATATTAACCATAACAGCAAATTAAGACATACACCTGAGGATGAGGAAAGCAAAAGGGACAGAAGCTGCGGCGGTTCCTGCCCTTTTCTTCCACACAAAGCATATGAGTAAATTGAAATCGGACTGGCTAAGACATGGACATTTCCTAGTAGGAGTTCCTCTGACAAACTCACAGTCACACCCTGTGCCAGGAAACGCATTGCTATCAGCTCTCACCACATCCAATCTGAATTCTGAAATCTAGCTATGTGCATGTCCTATATCACCTGGGTCCTTTTGGGAATAGTATATCAGACATCATATCTGCATCTTTTGCTTTCCAATTTCCAATCCCTGCACAATATTGCACACACGCACACACATTAATTAACAGGGGGAGACTGAAAAGAACTTGTCTGAACAATGATGATGGGAGAAGTGGTGAGTATCTTAATACTAGTAACTCTTTCTGACCAACTTAATTATTATGTTCAACATGATATAATTCTCTTATAGTAAATGAGAGGGTTTATTTTAGATAATGTAAACGAAAAGATATACTGGTACTGTTCTTCAGGAATTAACCCACGCCCATCTGCAACTTTCTTTTTAATGGTCTATATGGAAAACGGTGTGTTGCTCAGCCGGCGCGGAGGTGCTAGGATCAAGCCGCCGGTCTTGGGTCGAACCAAAGGGTGCGTTTGGTTAGTTGGATATATTCATATAGGACTTGGCAGTCAATTTTTTAGGAATTTTTGTTGGTGCGAAAAAGTGAGATATGGCCATCGGGTACAAAATATTCTGTGTAGATGCTGGATATCCAGCTTCGGGTGAATTGGATGCTGGATATCCAATTGGCTGGATCGCGCGGCTCGGGGCCGGGACGTGCGCGTGTGCATTCTTGACCACCAACCAAACACACCCTAAGATACTCACCTCTTCCAAAATTAATATCACTGATACTACCCCGGCCCTAGTATCCCACATTTTTAGAGAACAGTGTGTGGTGCAATGGCTGAAAAGTTGCCATTGCTACTCGCCAGGCCTGGATTTAACTCTAGGCTTCCTACCAGTTTTCCTCCCTATATCGATATCAAAGTTCCTCATTTAATATCTATTTCTTTTGTCCTAAAATATAAGAAGTTTTAGAGTTGGATACGGGTATTAAAAAAATTGGTGGAACTAAATGAAGGAAGGTTGTGATTGGTTGAGAAAAGAAGATTGGTAGGGAATTTGAATAGTGAAAGGTTATGATTGGTTGAGAAGAGATATATAGGTGAAGAAGTTGTTATATTTTGAGACAAATTGTGAAAGACTAGAAGTTGCTATATTTTGGGAGAGAGAGAGAGAGAGAGAGTAGTGTTTTTTTTAGAATTGTGCATGGCACATTAGTAGAAAATCTGCCAGTGCACTCACTAGGCTTCCATTCGACTCCAGGTTATATCCACCTTTAATTTCTTCCCTAATATATTCATATCAAATTCCTACTTTCATGTTCAGTGTTTTTAATGGTCTATGTCTCATGAGTTATTTTATGGTATTTAAGGATGTGCGTATCATATATTTTCTAGTAGAAAAATTAGTATCAGTCAGTATCTTAGGTACCACAAGGTAACAATAACAAATTTTGTACCTGATCCATTTGGATCTCATACAATTATATAAAAAAAACACGTTAGAGTAACATTTTTAAATAGTAAAACACCGTAAAAACATATGGCATATGGTGTTCATTGTTGAGCTTGGTCTAGATCACTATTGTAGACACAAATGAAGCTATGTTTTCCATAACTCCATTTCTCACACCTGTCCCTGCAGGAATTTTGAAAGGCAAGCTAGGTAGTACTACAACACTAACAACCCATAATTTTGATGAAAACTAAAAATCATTTTAGCTAGATCTTGTAATAGATATAGGAAGAAAACAAAAGGCAAAGTTGGGAAAAGGCCTGTGTGGGGATTGTGATGAGGATAATGGCAGTGGGAGGTGGGTATCCCTCCTCTAGCTACCCACTGCCCTCTTTATTTCCTAACTCCAAAGACTCCACTGATTATCAGCCTCCTACCCCTACCTGTCAATTCCTTTCCCTTTCAGAGGAAGATGAGAGTAGACAATTAATTTATGTATGTTTTCTGTGGAGAAAGGGAGATACATGCATATGCAAGTACTTAAGGAGACACTTCCACAGATGAGTGATCAATAGATATTGTCATCCATGCTCTTGATACCTAGCTAGGTTCCATTTCTCACTATCCTCTTGACCTCCATTTTTTTTTCCTTTTCACTTCTCTTGTTCTTGCTACCTAAAGGGGGAGGAGGAGGAGGAAAAGGGAGGAAGAAGAGACCCATTCTTATTCTAATATACAGTACTTAGCACGTGTTCCAGCTCAATCCTTGAGGTAATTAACAAAGCTAATCAGCAATCCCAATGGAGTATTGTGTGACTTTGTGTTTGCTTATGTGTTATACACATGCATGTGCACTCTTTGGTTGTTAAATCAGCTGATGAAGATGGATGGATCACCTTTTGTTTTGTTTCTCTTCTTAATTTTTTATGTGCTAGCTAGAGATGCTTCTCCTACATCTCTATCTTTCTCTTTCTCTTTTTTTTTCCTCTCATGCATGACTTGAGTTCTTGCATGGTTCCCTCTCCTACATATAGCATATATACATCTCTCTCACAAAAAGGGAAAAGGTGTGCATACATGGCTCCAATTTTAGCCCACTCTTGACACTCTCCTCAATTCACTAATAATATACTACATATATTATTTCCTAATTTCCATGGTTCAATTGTAGCAGCTAGATCTCTCTTGTTTGATTCTGAAATATAATTAATTAGTTTTGTTATGATTTGGTGGTTGATTGATCTTGCTTATTGATGAGCTTCTTGGTTAATTTCTTGGCTTCTTGTCACAGGCAAATTCACAGCTTTGTCATAGGAATCATACACTAGTTGTCCAAGAATCTCAGCGTATTTGCTACGTAGATCAAGTAGACAAGCTTGAATTGTTCGATCGATCGGGTCGTCGGAGTTGGGGGCCACCGCGATGGCGGCGTACTTCACAGGCGGCGGCGCCGGCACCGACGTCGTCCAGGCCGCCGGCACCGACGGCCTGCAGACGCTCTACCTCATGAACCCCAGCTACGTCGGCTTCACGGACGCCGCCGCGGCGCCCGGCGGCGGCGCCGCCGCCGCCAACATGGTGTTCCTCAACTCGGCGGTGAGCACCCTCACGCCGGCGAGCTTCAGCCACCACCACCAGCCGACACCGGCGGCGCAGCACTTCGTCGGCATCCCTCTCCAGTCGGGGTACAACCTGTGGGGCCCTGACGCCACCGGCGGCAACGACGTGTCGCCGCCACGCCACGGCGCCCAGCAGCAAGCGCCAGCAGCAGCTGGCACGTCGGCGGCGGCGGTCAGCCCCGTGCTGAGCCTGTCGTCGCGTGAGGCGGCGCCGCCGGTCACCGTGGCCGCCGCCGCCGCCGCCGCCGCCGTCCCCGGCGGCACGGACCAGGAGAAGGTGGTGATGCGCTCCAGGTACCTGAAGGCGGCGCAGGAGCTGCTCGACGAGGCGGTGAGCGTCAGCAAGGGCGCCGCGACGGCGGTGAAGAAGAAGGAGGACTCGGAGGGCGGCGTGTCCGGTGGCGGCGGCGGTGCGGAGGACGGTGGCGGCAGCAAGAGCGGCGCCGCCGCCGAGATGTCGACGGCGGAGCGGCAGGAGCTGCAGATGAAGAAGAGCAAGCTACTGAACATGCTCGATGAGGTAATTAGTGTAATTCATAATTAAGTACTTAATTATTTACCAGCCTAAGCTTCAGTAATAAAGAAGCAAGTGTCACTGAACCGATCACTGCACTGTTAAAGTGTTCATGGTTTTTCTTGCAACTGACTGATGATATATATATATATATATATATATATATATATATATATATATATATATATATCCTCTGTTGGTGGCAACTAATCCTGATAGGCACTAGACACTGCAAATATTTTCCTCTCTATTTACTCACATATTAATATTTTGATTCTACAATTTTAATTAGTTTTTAATCCTCGTCTAGAAATTATCGTTTTTTTTGTAATTTATTGGTATATATAATACAATATCCTTACGTGTTCCAATATCCAAACATGTTACTTTTTCTTGACCAATCAATGCAATGCCCTGCTAATTCGGTGACTGGAAAATCACCCAATTTTAAGAGAAAACAAAAAACAAGAAGATAAAGCAGTGATGTGGCTAATGCACCATACTGCTTTTGTGGCTAGCTAGCTAATCATGAATGAACATGAACTGATAAGATTAGATAAGCACAAGAAGAATAATTTATACTTGTTTCAGTTGTGCACTACTCCAACTTTAATTTGATTGCTTGCTGCCTGCTCAAATATACAGTCTCTCATTTGTCTGTACGGGCTGGTTTGAGGTCTCAATTAGACTTACCAATATTTGATAATTTTAATAGTGTTTAGTGTCTATTTGGTTTGAAGTCAAATTTTGGCATGCCTAAGAAAATAGGTCATTTCAATAGTGAATTTAGGCTATTTTGGCTTCAATCCAAATATAACTTTACCTTACCAAAATTAGTCATGCCAAAACTTGTCAAAATTTGGTACTGACAAAATTTGGTAAGGCCTATTTAGGCCAAAAACAAAACCAACCCTACACTACTTCACTATAGTATATATTAATAGGTTTTTTATCAATTTAATTAACTAAATTTAACTTTTTTTTAAGATGATAAAATAACAACCTACCTTTACTTCCAAAAAAAACTACAACCATCTATTACACAACCCACTTAGGAAAATAAAATTTATGAATTAAGAATACAAAGACTAAAAACTAACCTACATTTATCCAATTCTACTTGTAATAAATCCTCCTCATCTGAAGTTGGCAAATAACTAATTAAATGACTGTTGTATTTAATTAACTAAAGTAATTAGTGGTAATTAACTTGTGCAGGTGGAGCAGCGGTACAGGCAGTACCACCGGCAGATGCAGGGGGTGGCGGCGGCGTTCGAGGCGGCGGCGGGGGCCGGGTCGGCGACGACGTACACGTCGCTGGCGCTGCGCACCATCTCGCGGCAGTTCCGGTGCCTCCGCGACGCCATCGCGGCGCAGGTCAGGGCGGCGAGCCGGGGGCTCGGGGAGGACTGCGGCGACGACGAGGGCGGCGGTGGCGGCGGGAGGACGACGGTGGGGTCGCGGCTGCGGTTCATCGACCACCAGCTCCGGCAGCAGCGCGCGATGCAGCAGCTTGGCATGGTGCACGCCGCCGCCGCCGGTGGGCGCCGCCGGCGGCGGGTGGCGGCCGCAGCGTGGCCTCCCCGAGCGCGCCGTCTCCGTCCTCCGCGCTTGGCTCTTCGAGCATTTCCTCCACCCGTAAGTAATCAAATTTTGAATTTTAAAATTTAAATTTGTAGTTGATTTTTGGGGTTTTTTCTTATTTTCCTTTTTTAAAACAAGCCTTAGTTTTTAAGCCACTAATAATACAAATATAATAGTTTGCTTCACTCAATATTTTTCCACAGCTCAATTTCTCAAAGAAAAAAAACAATATGTATTTCCAAAGATGAGCAGTTGATGGCAAAATATTAAAATGGCATGCTCCATAAGATATTATTGAAATGTACAAGATTTGTTTGAAATAAAAACATCCATGCATCTCCCCCAAAATCGTACTAGAAACATGTAGGGCCTTGCACCTTGTCTCTTCTTCCCTGAAAAAAAAAAGTACTACAACATGTAAATGCATATGCAGACTCTAATTAATATCTCCTTCGTCACATAAAAAACTCAATTATAATTGTAAATTTAAAATATAAGTGTTTAGGTTTGAAATTAGGATTGGTTTTTTTTATATCACGAAGTAGTACTATTTAAAGCTTTAATTCTTCATCAGCATATATAGTACTCCTACTATTACATGAACACGTAGAGACAAGTGATCAAGCTGCATTTTCGAGTGCACGCTCAAATCGGTGAATGAATATTTCCTCGTGTCGACGTCTCATTGGTCGCTGAGATTCGTTGTGACGTCATGCAGATACCCCAAGGATTCGGACAAGGTCATGCTCGCCAAGCAAACCGGCCTCACCAGGAGCCAGGTACGTACGTATACGTCTACGTACAATACTACGTCTACGTATGTTTGAAGTACGTGTACGTATTTGTAGGTGTCGAACTGGTTCATCAACGCGAGGGTGAGGCTGTGGAAGCCAATGGTGGAGGAGATGTACGCCGAGGAGACCAAGGCCAAGGAGGAGGAGGAGGAGGAGCACGACGCGGCGGCGGCCGCCGCCGGCGACCGTGGCGGCGTGGCGGAGCAGGCTCCGAGTAAGCCGGACGACAGTGCTGGCATTGGCATGTCGTCGTCGTCGCCGGCGGTGGCGGCGTCCAGGTCAGTTGGTGTGCACGCCGGAGACCAGCACGCTCAGGCGAGCTTCTACGGCGGCGGCGGCGGCGGCGACGATCCGTTCCAGTGCAGGATCAAGAAGGCGAGGACGACGACGGCGGACGAGCCGGCGGCGGCCGCGGCGTTCCACGTCTCCGGCGAGGCCGCCGTGAGCCACCGGGAGCTGCTAATGAAGTTCACTGAGGCCGGCGGCGAGGGCGTGAGAACGGGCCACCCGCACGTCAACGACGACGACGACGACGTCCCTGGCGGCGCCGGCGGGTACTCGCTGTTCACGGCGGCGCAGTACGGGCATCAGTTCGGCTCGGACCATTTCGCGTTCGCCGGGCACGGCGGCGGAGGCGGCGGCGGCGTGTCGCTCACGCTCGGCCTCCCGCACGGCGCCGACCAGACGCCGGCGTCGTTTCTCATAGGCGCCGGCGCCGGCAGCGACGGCGGCGGCGCGCCGGTGACGACGGCCGGCTACGACATGAACATGCAGAGCACCAAGTCGTTGGCTGCTCAGCTCATGAGAGACTTCGTGGCATAGTGATTAGTACAGACATAATTAATTAATTAATTAATTAATTAGTTAATTAGGGAATGTGTTCATATAGAAATAAGGGTTAAGCCTTGACATGCTTGAGATTACTCATTGGTATATATATATTGGGATGTAAACATGTACATGGGGGTATTGGATAATGTATACAGTAGATATATACAGGACAGTATTGCTTGAGAAAATTCTGACAGGAATTTCTAGTTCACAGATTGACACAATTATCTGATTATAAAACAAAGTAAATGTGGTTTGGAACTTTGAATTTTGAAGAGCATTTAGCAGTTGGTAACTTGAGAGAAGATTGGAGAATTGCAGCTGAACTAATGATATGAAAATGAACCTTCAGAATTTGTCACTCTTCATGCAAATATGCAATCAGAAACTGAGCTCTGGATCAGTTAAAAAGTGCCTATAAAAGAGCCTTTCACAGTCATGCACGCATGCTAAACAAAATGGACTCAGGATTTGCATTCAGTAGATCATCAACAAGACAAAATTCACTAATAACGCCAACAAACACATCAGTAGCAAACTGAAACAAGATTATACAAGCAAAACATGGCCCAAGGATCATTCTGACTGATTGTCCATGTCTCGATGCATCATCATCTACCGTCAGGCTTTTCTTTCTACGGGTGTGTTGCCTACTGAACAGGAAGAGCACTGTATTTTCGACAAGGATCCAGCTCTTAGTGCACACTGACAATGCTAGTCATGGCAGGAGAGTGAACTGAAGCTCCCACTCTTAGCACTTCAGAAGTTCAGAGATTCAGATGCCTCTGATAATGTTTCCCCTACTCGTTTTCTCACCTAAGATGGCCTGTTGCTGGTATAACCGGATGTTGCACAATCCCAGGAGGTATTTTTACATTGTTAGGATTATCTCCCACGCCTCCTCCGCCGCCATCACAGCTCGGTTCCAACAAGCGCATAAGCGAGAGGAAGATTTCCATTCTAGTCACATCCCTGTTGGCCTGCATGGGTATAATCAAATGTTACAGCATGTAGGATAAGATGTTCTTGCATTCATAGTGAACCAAAACTAGAGAGCTTTCTCAAATACATTGCGCTGCTTACCTCAACGGTGAAGCGAGCCCAGATTTTATTTTTGCGTGCTTCCATCACACCCCTCAAGATAGTTAATCCAAGTCCTTTGATGAAGTCAGCTATCTCCAAGAAGATCCCTCTATCCTCACAGAGCATCTGAATAGGCACCACCGTCAACAAACGGAAAGTAGTGTTTGTGCATCAAGAATCACAAAATACTAGTTCTACAAAGACAGCAATAACAGAATGATTTACCTCCACAAGCATCTGACGAGGCCGATCAAGATCTTCAACAATGATTGGGCATGTCATAGATTGACTGCCAACATCAAAAGCCCAAGTAGCACCACCTTCAAAGTAATCTTTCAGAAGCGGGCCATTCTCACCACCACCATGTATCTGTTCACAGTTCACCAATAGCACAGCAATGACATCAGGTTTGCAACATTAATTTCTCTTTGAATATGCTGCAAGCTAGTCTATTCATTGTGACGCTAGAAAATGATAGGAATTGTATACCTTTGATTCGTTAGAATCCTTGAGGTTGTCTGCATGCTTCGTCACACTTTGCAAGAAAACCATGTGCTTAATGGTCTTTTCCAATAATGCATCAATGCTACACTGTTGGCAATTGACATGAGGCTAGCCATCAGCACACAACAGAATTTACATCCAAACTAAATTCAATGGGATTCAAGATCTAAATAATCATAAAGGACATTTAAAGTGTGAGGGTGAACAAGAGGATACCTTTGCCCCATTAGGTACTAGTTCCCGCAGCTCCTTTATACGATCTTGAATAAGCTGGCGGTCCTTTGGCCGTGGCTTAGGACTCTCTCCTGGTCTAGATCTCTTCCGATTTGCCTTGTTTGCTGTATCCAGACCTTTGCTGTTTGAGGCAGACACGCTTTCACATTTCATGTTCTGTCCACTCTCAATCCAGAGGCGTATCTGAGATTTCTGCACTCCATTGTTTTGGGAAAGACAACCATCTTCAGCCTTTTCTAGGAAACATGGTTGTTTGACAAAATTTGAAACTGCCAACTCATTCTTGATTAGCAAAGGTGGAGCACCAGATGACTTGCATTGCTTCGTTTCTTTTGAGCCACAGTAAGAAGTGCTAGGAATGTCTGTCAACGAAGTCTTGCACGAGGCACTGTCACCAGAGATCTGCTTGCCACCAGGATTAACATTCGAGATAACCGCATCCAATAGTTGGTCAGTATCAGTGAGCGAAAAAATCCCAGAATAAGAAAATTCATCCTCCTGTGCACCGAAGGCTGGTGAACTGTCAAGATAAATTGAGGATTCAGGTGCATCTCTGTCTGAACTCTGAGGCTTTGCAGTGTTCCAGGAGAGGTCACCATCCAAACTGCGGTGCAATTGATGAAAATCAGTACCAAATATATCAAACAAATCATTTTCTGTACTAGGATCCATAACAAATGAGGAGGTTCTCTCATTAGAAATGTCTAGGATCTTGTGTCGGTCCATATTTTTCACATCCTGCGTGCTTACAGCAGCACTGGAGTCATTGACTTCATTTGTCTTCTTGTTTTGGCACATATGCTCTGGGTTAAACTGACGAGTGGTTGTTTTCAAACCACTCGAAACTTGGACATCAGAACCAGAGGATGGAGCTGCGGGGTCTTGAAATGATTGTCTTCTGGGATTCTCCATTTTCACAATGAATTGAGCAGAGTGGGGGAATTTATATGAAACAGATGGTTTATACCCTGCCATCCCAGAAGTGGAACTGCATCTTTGGTCTAAAACTTGACTAGACGTACCATTGTTATACAAGTTAGCCTCAACTACTCTAGGACCTGCTTGGAGAAAATCAAAACTCCCATGACTATTCAGAAAAGCCGGCACCTCATCCCCTCCATGAAATAGACTCGTGTTAGTATTTTCATGGACAACAGGGTTCCGGCATGAAAGGGATTTTAACAGAACATTTCTGGGCCCTGATGACTCTTCCATGTTCCCGTGTTCTACTTGTCCAATGTTGTTCGTCAACAATGGATACTTTTCCACTGATGCTGAGATAGACGAGATAAAACCTGAGCTCATAGCACTACTGTGTGTGTTAATATCAACTCTCCTGTCACTATAAGGGAGCTGCTGTCTGAACCTCATATCAGGAGCATATAAGACTTGCTCTCTAATGGCTTGATCATTTCTCTGTGCAACCTTAAGTAAGGAAGTGTTCCTGCCCGTGTTTGCTGATGTGCTACTTGACAAGGCTCGGGCATCATGACCATAGCACTGTTCATAAGGGTGTATACTTGGGAGACCATGTAAAGATCGTGACTGAACTTTCTGGCTCAAATCATTTTTGGCTGAAGCAGATGCGACCATACTCGACCGGTTGTTTAGCTGACAGCACAGCTTCTTATATTGTTGCACAGAGCTTATGTTTTCCAGAATCTGTAAGAAAATAAAGCATTCATAAGCTCTAACATAAATAATTTAGAAAGCATAAACAACAAAGCTTAGCAGAGCTCTACTGTCCTAATGGTTATGGTAAAACTCAGAAGTGGATTCTCTTAATGCAGTTAGCTGAGTCTTTTTCCCCCCTTTTCTTCACAACAATCCTAAGGGCTAGACACATAGCAGAGAGAATAATTCGTTCTTGTTTTCAACTTCCCAATACCATCCACAAGGAGGATGGGTTCTCCTAGGACCTTACCACAAATATATATATATACACATATAGGGACCCAGAGAACAGAATATTTGACCAGTCAACAATGTAAATGCCATAAAATAGTACGTCATGGCCCATATGATAAAACATAAGAGAACAAACTTCAAGACATGTAGGATGATCTAGTATATACTAATCTATGAAAACTTTATTATCTTACCACACTAGTAGAGCCTAGCTGCAGCACACCACGTGGTAACACAGGTATAATTGCAATGGTCTGCAGAGCAAGTAACTTGTTAAGAACTTGGAAGTAAACAATCCATATAATCTAGTACTAGCATGCAAGGACCAAAATTCCACTAACCTTAATGCCAGCTCTGAACTGATTGTTCATCTCAGCAGCAACCTGACCGTCATTAGTAAAACCATTAGCTCATTGTTCATTACAACAAGAACAACAACAACAACAACAACAACAAAAAAAACTCGAATTTCCAATTCAAAATCTCCAAAACAAGTAAGAAAGAGAAAATTATAGATCCTCATGAAAAGTAGATCATGGTTAACTTCAGCATCAGGGAAAACAGTATCAAGAAGAACCTCCATAGACATTTCAACTTATTCACATGTCCATTTGTGTGCTTCTGCAACTAGCTCATCACAGTGACCACTCATTATTCAGCTAACCATTAAGCAAACTACACTAGATGCCAAAGTTTGAAGACCACAAGGAACATAAAGGTGAGGACAAAACAACCCCACAGGGATTGTTGGATTGTTATAAATCCCCTGACTCCACGCTTTAAATGAGGCAGCAACAGCAAAAATGGACCAGACAAAACCGAAATTGGGTAACATTTATACCAGTTCACAAGAAAGGAAGAGGAAACCACACTACCTCGGATCTGAGCCCGTGATCATTGGCAGTTTCATGGACAATCCATTGATGATTCCCAGTGAATGCAGCACGGCCAATGGTACTGAAGGACAACAAGTGAAGAATCCATCCAATTAATGAAAACAATAAACCAACAAGATTGCATTAGCTAATACTGTACTTAACCCCATTAATACTCAAACCAAAGAAACGATCATATTCTTTTGCTTACCCTTCTCCAACAACATGAACCTGCGAGGCCATGATCTTCCTAACAAGCGTGCAGACGGCGCCGCCGGACTCGCACCCAGCCTCAGAAGCCTCAGATCCAGCAGAGCACGATGCGTGGCCGCAGAAGCCATCCTCCCACACCAAATGCCTTCAGAATGCACAAAAATGTTGAAGAGAATCACCATCAAAGATGCCAAATTCACAGCACATTCTCAGCATTCCATCCTGCTCCCCCAAAATCACTAGTCATTTCATCTTCTTCTTTCCCCCCACTAACTTGTAGTATCTATTTCATATTCCGGTAAAAGTACTACTACTACTAGATAGTATCCAGTATCAAGAAACCGAGCAGCAGCAGCAGCAGCAGCAGGCGAGGAATATACCCACGCGAATCTTCTCCTTCCTTCCCCGCGCGCACGCTTGGCAAAACGAAATCTAGCGGGAATGGGAATGTCGAACAAGAATCCAAACCGAACAAAAAATGGGCATTGAAATCCCCTTTTTCTTTTCTTTTGTTCTCTTGCAAAGATGGAGCAGGAGGAGAGAAGGTTGAGAGAGAGAGAGAGAGGGGCTTACACGGGGTCGGCGGCGCCGATGGCCTTCCAGAAGACGGCGTACGACCACCGGGCCTCCTCGCACAGCCGCCGCAGCGCATCACCGACGGCCATCCTCCTCCTCGGAAACCCTAGCTAAGCTCCCTCCCTTCCTCCCAGGAGGAGTAAATAAAGAAGAAGAAGAAGAAGAAAAGAAAGGGAAGACCAAAAGCAGCAAAGAACCCTGCTTTCTCTTTCTCCTCCTCCTCTCTTAGGCGCCGCGGAAGCTGGCGCGCCCGGCCTGCTTCGCGCGGAGCCCGCCGCCCCTCCTCGCCGGAATCCTAACCCCGCCGCCGCCGCTCCTCGCCGCCACAGAGGCAGCAGCCATGAGATGGGCCCCACCCGCCGCCACGTCAGCCTCAGCAGAACCAGCCGCCAAGCCAAGCCAAACCAAACCAGCTGAGCTCGGATTTTGGCCGGAATCTTAATCTCTCTCGCTCGCTTCTCTTCCTCTTCTTCCTCTTCTTCTTCTTCTTCTTCTTCTTCTTCTTCTTCCTCAATCCTCACACACACACACTCTTCTTCTCCTCTTCTTGGGAGTCTTGGGGTCCTAGCTTGGCTAGCTTAGCTTAGGTAGGGTTGAAGCTTGGGGGTTGGGTGGTGCAGTGCAGCTTGCAAGTGCAGAGCTTGGCTTTCTCTTTTGTTGCTTTCTTCTCGCCTCCCTTGCTTTGTTTCCCTTTTCCTTTCTCCCCCCTCGCGCCTCCCGAGGCACACACGCATCATTCTCTCCACCGGGGGCAAAACCGGTATTATCTTTCTCTATTATATACTAGTATTAGAAGTATTATCTATCTCCCTTTTTGCTTTTCACTGATGAATCTGAAAATCTGAAGAGCTTCTCCTACGGTTTGTTTGAAGAGCTTCTCACGTATGCAGCTTTTTCTATAATAAAAAGCTTTCGTTAAGAGTTCAATTTTTTCTTTAGATTATAGGAAATTGTAGTTGTGAAATTTAGAAAATGAATTATTTAAAAGGTGGGAAACCTAGTTTCTCTATATTCTCAGAAACTCACTCCAACCAGCTACTTCTCTAGGTTTTGAGTTTCCCGAACAGGTCTCTAGTATGATTGAAGCCATATCTCATTTAAGGATGGGGATTATGCGTTGATAAGCACCGTAAAAAATATGTGTGTTATTTGTTAGGTGCAATTACTCGTGGATTGATCGTGCTTGTTTCTATTGGTTCTTTGGATCTAGAGATATTATATGGGAAGTCACCATCGTTACCTCTTGTGTCTTTCGGTCATTGTTGATGCCACTGTAGAGATTGTATAGCTCATCGTATGTTTGTAACTTTGGAGGAGAGGATTGATTGTCTATAGAAGGAAATTAGTGGTGAGATTGACATATGAATTTGATTTTTAGTTTAAGCCCCTTGTTTGGCAACAGTGATAAGAATTGAGTGGAATTTTTAGATAGGAACTATATTTTAAGTGATGATTGAGGACTGAGATTTGTTTAGTCGTCATAGGGAGAGAATTCTCTCCCGACTCTCACAACTATAATAGGTATTAAAAAGTGAGGAGTTCGTTCATCAATTCCTTGTTCGTACACCATCAAATCTCTCGTGTCTTCTTAAAAATGAGCCATATATTCCTCTAACTTCCCTTCCAAACCAAAATACACCGTTCGCAATAACATTGTCCCTGTTATTGCAAAGAAAACTGCTCAGTCATGCTTTAGCATAGGATACTTATTTACTTTAAGAATGATTATGGACATAGTATATAGAGATGAATTGAATATACATATAATAAGCCTAGCAAATTACAATATCTAAATAATGCTAATGTAGAAAGCTTTTGGAGAAATCATAGTTTGAGAATCATGGCACAAATAATCAATAAGTCTGTAAGTTGAAATGAGCACTTTCTTGGATGAGGTTCAAGTGGTTCATTTGTACAATTGTGATTATATAGAGCAGGAGGGGACATAGTGGTTGTTCGCTAGCCCGTGTTGTAGTGGTTTGGACTGCACTGTACAGCCTAGTCGTTCAGCTTCATCAACAGATCGATCGAGAAACCACGTCATAGCAACATGAACGCCAAGCTCTCCCCTGTGACGCTATTAAAACCACTGTAGCAACTAGTTATTCCTAACAGTCCCATATTGTATTATTTAGTGTAATATTTGGTTACATACAAAGAAATAGTGAAAGCATAGCAAATTGAGCTGAATAGTCTACTAAGGAATATAGCTATTTTATCGATGATGAATAAGGCATGCGATTGTTTACTAGAATGTTGAGATAACTACTAATTGGAAGCGGATATCCTACCATTATACCAGGAAACTTTAAGTCACCGATCTGATCCATATAGCAAACTGGACTTATATGTCAGTGTGATCCAAAGTCACCTACTTTAAAAAAAAAAGAGGATCCTATTTCTACAAATTACTTTCACTACTCTGCATATGCTATTTATGCTAGTTAGATGTCATGTACTCATGCTAAATAAGTACATATAAGGCTACCTAAAAGCACGCAATGCGAAAAATCATATTACGACAAAACTGCTAGATCAGACGTGACATGTTCAAAGTTGAAAGTGATGAGAAGAGGTTACCGTGCAATTCATAGATGATCCAAATCTTAATAATAAAATCTAAAAGTGTCATCCTGTGACGAGGCTTCAAGCAATCTACCAGCTGATTAGAATTCTCAATCTTCTGCTTTTGCTCTCAAGAAAAAAGGAATATAAATCCGAGAAGCTTTCGTCACATTTGGCCAAGTAGCATTACTATTCAGAAAAGCTTTGCAAAAAAACCATTCAGAATCCCTTGGAAAGAAGACAAGCTGGATAGTTTAAATTATCCAACAAATGGAATGTCATGTGCCAAAAATAATGACCTTTATGCCCTAAAATGTTATGCCTAAAATTACGGTTATGCCCTGATGGTTTGCTGAGCAATTACAGTGGATGCCAACATGGGCCTTCAAAAGGTGGGCATGGAGTACAATTATGCGGTCGTGTATGCTTTTGAGGGGGTGGTGGGGTAATTTCTAAATTAATAATGATATTAATATATATATATATATATTTACAATGAGGGCAAAAAGGCATAGGCTAAGACAATCAGATGGCAGAGCCTGTCTTAGCTTAATTTAAGCATTTTCCTCCCTAAAAAAGTTGTTTTCAGATGCAATGTGTTTAGAAATGCCTAAATATTTTTTTAAGTGTTGTGCAGTGTGCCTCTCTGAGGTCATGTGAGCTTCTTCCCCTTCATGATTGGACATGTCCTCAGCTGCACATTCCCTGGCAAGTGGGCCTCCTGAACTTTTCAGTGTGACCAGTGGCCCACCTGTCAGCCAGCATGTCTGCATTAGGTTTGTGCAAGTAGGAATCTTTGTTTAATTGCTTTCATTTTTGCAGGGACATTTTTATAATGATGATCTGTGGTCACTTTTGTGAGATCTTAGTTGTTTGATCTTGGCTTTATTTTCTGAAAAGGAAATGCCTTAGCTGTCGATCTTCAGAGGCCTTTGAGGCTGTTCTCTCAGCAATCTCAGCCCTGTGATTAACTAACAATAGAATGTTGATTTGTTTATATTGTACCAGAAGATTTGTACTAAAAACTTTCATGTTAACATTCCAGAAAAAGGGTACTAGCATAAAAGTTTTCCTCTATTTTTCTGAAACAAAAAGTATGGTTGCAAATGTACTCATTCCATAGCTTATTCTCGTATGAATGATAAGCCTTGCAAATAAACCCATTCATATTTTACGTAGCACATGTGAAAAGTTCTTAGTTAATTCTGTAAAAAAGGTTTAATTAGCACATAGAGTCAGACATAGAGAGACAGGTTATTGTGCTTCAGTTCTTGACCGGACTGACGACATGTGAGAACAACAGGTTACTCGAGCTTTGGTCCAAGTTTGTTGCTTCTCCATTTGATATGGTCAGAAAGCCAAAGGGCTCAGGACAAAAAGGACAATTAACTTTTAAATATATATCCAAACAAACAGTAATTAATCCAAAGCCTCATTTCACACTTTTGGATTTCCTAGTTCAGAAGTCTCCAATCTTTCTTTTTAAAAAAGAAACACGTCTTCTTTTCTATAATGAAAACATCAGTTTCATTCTTGAACGTGTGGCATATATCCCTTTGTTTAGTTAATGAGAGGTGGCCTAATCAAAAGATAAGTGAACTATTAAACCAATTTTTTTGCTGACTCATTAGTGGAGGCTTGCAAACTAATCCTACTCTTCTTCTTCTTCTTCTCTCCTTGATGTGGATGCTTTGCTTCTAGAAGTGCTCCACTAGGGCAAAAAACAGGGACGTTTATTTGAGATTAGTCACATCATATGCAAAAATCCAAAGCTGCTTTGGCCCTTGTGTAAGGCCAAATTAGATGGTCACTTCACTTCTTGTTGTGATGTGATATCGGATTTAAGGTCATTAGCGACCAATATAGTTGGTGGTTAAGATTGATTGTTAAATAATTGTATGAGATATGAGAACATGGAACAGATGAAATTTAGGGCAAAGCATGAGGTCAGCCAAGACAAAAATGGTTAATGTGCTAGACAAATTGAAAATTAACGCTAGCAGCCAAGACAATAATATTAACGACCATGACCTTTTGTGTCTCCGTGTTTTCCTCCTCAAAATACCATGGAAATTGCAGTAACAAATTCCTTTTTTTTTGTGAGATACATCATGGCAATATCAAGAAGTGTGAAAGAGTAACTGAAACCAATTATTGAGAAAACGTTTGAAACCAGATTATTAACGTGGATTGTCTAGAGATAATTAAATATTTTAAAAAATGAACTTAACAAATAGCTCATAACAAGTGGTCTAAACAATGAGTAGATTTTTAATTTAAGAAAAGATCAATACTTCTAAAGCTAGCAGTGGAACTGCAAGTCTATTGGTCCAAAGTGGTAGAGCTACACATTGAGATAAATCCAAAAAGTGTATAAGAGAAAAAAATCGAGAAAAAGAAAGCATTGCCTCTAGCAGATGCTACAAGCATCCCAACTGGGCAAAGTAGTTTCTATCTGGTACCTCCTTCAATTGATGATAATTGGAATGATTAAGGAGAAAAAGATCTAGAAAAAGTTTCTAGAGATAAAAAAAATTATGATACATGACAATTTTAAAACAAACTAGATAATCTCTATTAAAGTAATCTAAAATTTATGTGTTATAAATTAATTAACTCTAAATAGGATACACAGTAATACAAAGCTCGCGCCAATAGAAAAAAAAACATAAAATGGTGTGACTATGATCACATGCCCTTTATTTGATTAATTATTTTCAAAATGATAACGGTTTTATTTAGGAAAAGTCTTGTATTTCATCCTCTTTGACTCAAAACCGGGTCATGAATTAGGATAATAAATCCACCGATTTATTTAGTCGTTAGTCTTATTTATTAAAAAGAATGATTTTACCTTCTTTGATGACTAATATTCAATATTTGTTATTGTAGTATCACTTTCGTATATTCATTATCAGACACCAGAAAATAAACTTCTTTGGCCATATATAGTACCAAAAATTAAAAATTCAATTAAAATATATACATGGGATACAAATTATATACATGCCAATTGGCACGCTGAGTTTACAGTATTTTTAAAAGTGTGGAGCAAATAATCTGTATCAATAATCTAGTGAAGAAGCTGAAAGAACATGCATGTTTTTTAAACTATATCGCATGATAATTAAATGAAATTTTCTACTTAGTTCTTTTAGGATAATTCACACCTTTTGTTTAGTTTTAAAAAATAGGATATTCGGATTATACAAGTAGACACTAGACACAGATTGTGTTGCCCTGTTCATGAGGGGATTTTGGAGGGGGGATGGACAGTATAGCAAAGGGCACCAACCCACTACAGGACACAATCTGCTTGAGAATCTTGACCTTGGCGTCTTGCAAATAATACAACTAGGAACCCTAGGCAAGAGGGCAACAGTTTCTTTGATTTGAAGCCTTGCTTTGCATTGCATTGCATTTTGCTTTGCTTTGCTTTGCTCTGCTGTCTGCTGCCTCTGCCTGCCCCCACATCCCAAATTCTGATGGTATATCCGTATTGGCCTCAAGAAAGGGGCACAGATCGATCAGCACTAATGTTGGGTCCCAACTCCTCTCTTTCCTTTCCTTAATTTCACTTTCATCATCTGTCTAACTCTAAATCACCATCAGTAGTATGATCAATCTAGCATTTTGACCAGATATGGCTCAACAATTCCTGACTTTTAAGATAAACAAAACTTTATTAGACTCAGCCGATTACATTAAACTGATATATAATCGTATTGAAAATATTTTTGGCCTCTGCATAAATAAGATACACATAGTAAAACACATTCTCAAGTTTATAAGAAAGAAATACGACAAGTGTTATGTGTCATCAATTTTAAGACCAAATCACCAATTCGTCACCCATAATCCTAGATAAAATACTAGTTGATCACCTATTTCAAGTATAGACATGCCGTAATAACCAAATCTTTTGGCAGGTAAGTTCAAGATGTCTTAGGCTCCATATTCAAACTATATGTTTATATCCATGCATGTAATAATTTCACTAACTGAATGGTACACTACATTGTAAAGTTAGCATAAGATAGCTAAATAAGGCTGATGGTGATGTGAGATTAGCATGAGAGAGAGAGAGAGAGAGAGAGAGAGAGAGAGAGAGAGAGGAGCATAATAAAGTTAATGTGGATGGGTGATCCATGTGGCCACCAAGCAAGCTAATGTGGTGCTCGGTGATGGCGATGGTGATGTGTCTCCTCCTCCTTGTCATTGTTTGCTACTACTACTGATCTACTCCCATCGATTAAAGCCCTAATCATGGGCGACAAGAAAGGTGGTCACGACATACACAAAGAAAAGACACAGAGAGAAAAAAGATAGAGAGGTTGTATGTAGTGTAGTATGATGAAGAGGAAGGCAGCACAGCCAGCAATGACACCATGCATTCATATGCATATGCATATGGGTAGTAGTAGTAGCTGCTTAGGCACAAGTCATGTGGCATTGCTATACATTCCACAGTTCTACTTCTCTACAACTTTCTCTCCTCCCCATCTTTAGATTCCTTCCCCTTTTTTCCCCCTCTTTTTCTTCCCTTGATGAACCAACAATTTCTCTCTAAGAAAAGCAGACATGACAGTCGACAGTTTTGCAAAGATTTTCTTTCATAGGCTCCATCCCGAATATTCGAAATTCTTATGGTCTAAACAAGTCCAGAAGTACCACCAAATGTATAGAGTTCCTTTACGAATGAATGGTTAGATTTCACCCATACAAGTACCCTTACCACGAATACAGTGCACCATAAAGGATCTCTATGCATAACCTAATGCCTTAATTATAACGCGATCTAATTTCTACAATTGAAAAAATTGAAATGATACTTGCGAAATCATTTTATCTCTGGAATTCTAGTGTTCTAAAGGGTCTATGGGAGGAAATCTTCGTGGCTAGAAAAGGCAGATCGCTTGGGAGTCCATCTGTCGGTCGTTGTAAACGAATAGCTTATCCATAGGTCTAAAAAGCTTAAGCAAGACCGCAAGAATGTCCTTTGCCATTGGCCCGTTGGGAGTAATTAACGCTTGCCTTGTTTGCCTCTGTCATGTCATGGAGATTGATGAGGTGTCGTCACTCCAGCATGGTACTGAGCTTAGCCTAGCTTAGGTAGCTCTCCAGTGAAGGCGATGGGGAAGGAAAACGAAAGGCAAAATATTGGAGAAAGGAGCCGGCACGACATGGATTGCTGCTAGCTACAAGTTGAGAAGAAATTTTACTCTTTGTTACTGATGTGAAATGGATAGACTATCTAGCTACAAATGCCCACTCCTCAGCTGTGGATTTCTGAACATAAAGTTGGCAGCGAACAATTTAATCCGATGAAAACTGGGGGGATTTTGTTATTCTTCAATTCAGGGCATAGAACAGCAAGCATTTACAGCAAACAATCTTATCCCATAGAAACTGGGAAACAAATGTTATGCTTCAATAAGGGGAAGATGATTTTTACAACTCAACTCCATGTGCACATACATGCTAAACCATTAAATGATTTACTGGAAAATTACAATATTGTGTTTTATTGAAATTTGTGTTATACACACGAGTCTCAGAGCAAATATGGCGACAGGTGGTTGTAGGTGCACATGCACTTGAGTTGTAAATAGAGTTACCCTTCAATCAGGGTATAAAAAAGCAGCAATTCACAGCAAACTATTTAATCCCATAGAAACTAGGGAGAAAAATTGGTATGCTTCAATCAAGGGAATAAAGCAGCAAGCATGGCTGCCCTGCCTCCCCAGCATGGAGGCAGGTAATGATGCCCACATCAGGTTGTGAGGTCTACCCACCAACACATGCACCTCCCTCCCACTCCCAGGCCCACTGCACAAAAATTGACATGGCTTAGGCCTCCACTACTGCTAAACTGGCCCATCAAAATGTATGTACATGTACAGAATCATACCAGACAGACATTCCAAACAAACAAACATACTGCCATACTGGTAGGTTGATCAATGGCAGCATGTGCATTGGACAAGTCAAACTTTACCGGAATGTATATGTGCAATTTAAACAAATAACTCAAAATGAGACTGAAATTCATGCGGTTGAGGGGAAATAAAAGGAAGAAAACACCAGTTTCATGTCCTGAGAAGGCACAAACAGGGTGGAAATATTTCCCCAGTTTGTTGGTATCGGTAATAAACGAGATATATTGCAAATATTATCACGGAACCAAAGTCACATCCTTTGATATTTCAAGACAATTTAGTGTTGCATTGAAAATTCTAAAAAACAACTTAGTGTTGCATTGCTGATAATAATCGAAAGGCATAAAATCACATACCAGGTCTGTGCTTGCTAAATTCATATTGGTTGACAATTCCATTGATCCCAGGCCTCAAAGGAAATGCTACAAACATCCTGTTGATTGATCCACAGAGCTCCAGCAAAAACATAAAAGCAGAAGATTACTGAAGGCAGAACTGCTTAGGAGAACAATACTCTGCAGGATCTATCACCCCATTGTTTTTGTTTGCGCTTGACCCGTCAGCTTCACACTGCAGAAAATTACTCCGCTCCCCAGGAATAACAGGATGGTGTATGTTTCCCACTCACCTGAGACCAGGATGGATTCCTGCAAATGTAGAATCAATATCAGCATCGAAATAATCCTCACCACTAACCACAGTGGTATCATCAGTTCCCATGTGAATCATACCAGCAACAATAGCAAGTTATGCATTTCTTCAATTGACCTTGTACCAAGTTATCTTCAGATCGTTGCAAAATTATTCCCATAGATGCTGAAAACTCAAACAAATTTTGATTTTTCAGGGTCAGTCCAATCATCTCTCTCCAATTCAATTTCCATCACAATCAAATCAAGAACATGCTGAGCCTTGTTGAAGTAAGTTTCTCATTCCTTAATTGACTTTGTACCAAGGTATCTTGATATCATTGTAAAATTCTTCCTATTGATGCTCATAGCTTGGACATATTTTGATTTTTCTTTTTCACTCCAATTATTTCTATTCAGCTCACTGCGATCAAAATTAGAATCACCTGAGTCGTAAGGGAGATCCTGATTTTGATCCTCTGGGAGCTTCTTGGCCACGATAGCTTTTCTAGAGCAGTCACTACTACTTTGCCCACTTGCCATGCCTTTATGTTTCTCAGCACTTGCTACTGTTGATCCATCCATTATATTAAGTGCAGCTGCACTCTTCTTACAAGCACATTTCCTCTTTGATGTTACTAGGTATGAAAACCTTTTCTTTGCTTCAATGGAACTCCTCAGTCCTGTTGTTCCTGTAGTAATTCAATGCAATCAGCTGTTGTTTTGTGGCTAAGAAAAGATGAAATATTAGCAAAGTCTTTACCGAATGTGACAACTGACAAGGATCTCCACAAAGACTTCTTTTTCTTGTTGACTCCATGGACTAATCCTAGTTTTCTCCACTTCAAAAGATAGTGGGTCTTCAATCAAACCATTCTTGTGATCAAACGTGCTAGACTGCTTCGCTTTCTTGCTTAGAGTCATTGCAGGCACTCTTGAACTACTTCCATAGAACTTATCCTTCGATTTGAAAGCAGCCTGCTTATAACCTCTAGTACCTCTGTTTTAGTCACCGCATTGTCATCTACATTTTAAAATGAAACAAAAACATAAGGATGTACATAATATTTTCATATAGTGGTGAGCATAGCTCCCCATGTACCAAAATGGCTTTCGCTACCAACCGTCCATTCTCAAAGTAGTCTACATCGAATCATAGTCCAAGCAAATTGTTGGATCTTAGGAAATGGAGAGTATCTGATCTACAGGGAAAAAACAAGAAGTTGCTTTATTCATTATACCCTACAAATGGCCCTAAATGCATTATAATATAGCACATTTAACAAGATGTGTTGACTAACAACTGTGCAGGCTTAGGTACTTACCCTTGACCATATATACCTTTGATGATAAATTGATAAGACACTGGATGACTAGTTGCACATGGAAAAAATGGAGTTACTCAAGTAGACAGGAAAAAAATGGAATAAAAATATAGTTCATTCAGATATGATAGCACTTACATAGATATCGATGCTTGCGTTGAAATGCATTTCTCCTGCTGATTATTGCCATGTTTCTCCAGCATTCACCCGTAATGCGGCTACGCGGGCATTCTCACCCTCCAAACGTCTTCCTCCCATTCTTGGACGTTCCGGCAATCAAGAGCAGCCTCCACCACCTTGTCGAACATCTCGTCTTTCTGGACCGCTTTTGGCACTGACCGAGCAGAGCGGCGAGCTTGGCCGCCAATGCCGCATCCGCAGAGAGCGTGCCCTGTCCCGCTTGGGCATTTCATCGAACAGGCTGCCCGCGGGACAACCTTCACGGGTGAAGTGAACATAAGCGGCGCGCGCGAGCCGCGAGGACGGCGTCGCGGCGTGGGGCGGACGGTGTGGAGGGAGGCCAACGGTGGAGTACAACATGTCGGGTTCGTCTTCGACGCCGGCCGGCTTGCTGGTGGTGGTTCGGCGCGCCGCCTCCACAGGCGAGGCTGGAACACGCCGGCCGGTTCGGTCCATTGCTGCGCCGCCGCCTCGCACCGCCGGTGTCGACGGCAACGGCCGCCAGCGCGGCGGTGGTCTCCATCCCGCATTGCCGCCGCCGGCCGCCGTGATTCGCGGCGGCGACGGCGAGGAACCTCTCACTCATCTCCTCTTTCATGATCTCTGATGGGCCCAGATCATGGAGAGCCCACGCAGCCTCTATCCATACGCATGGGCCGCATGTACCCAGCTACCTACTACACTTCCGGGTCCATACATATGGGGGAATAAGTTCACTTTAGGTCTCTCAGCTTGTTGCGCGGAGCCTCTCTCCCGCCGACCGCCGCCGGCCTAGCTCTTCTTTTGTCGCCCGCCACCCTTTATAGTCCGCTGTCATCTACAACCAGCCGTCGCCGCCTCCGCCCAGCTCCTCTCCCATCGCTTGCCGACGCCGACGCCGACGCACTCCTCCACGTCGTTACCAGTCGCCACCGCCCGCAAGCCTGTTCCTGCGCTGTCAATGTCGCTAACGGCTTGTTTGGCAACTCGAGGGAAAAGGACTAGGAGTTTACACGAGGGAATTATTTGTGAGATTAAGATAGAAATTTGATTTTTTATTCTAATATCTTGTTTGGTAAACGTAGTGAAAATTGGTAGGGAGTTTAGTTAGATATTAGGTCATTAAGAAAAACGAATAGATGGGATTTGTTTAGATAAAGTAAAGGAGGATTTTCCTCTCAATAACCACCCCTACCCAGATATTGAAAATAAGGGAGTTCCTTTTTCAATTTCCCATTCCCACCCTACCAAATTCTTATGTCTATTAACCAAACAAAACAGTTAATAGTCTCGTCACTCTAAACTCTCAATCCCTTCTAAAAACTCCACCCAACCAAACGGGCCGTCAGAAAAAGGTGGTAGAGAGAAACAGAATGAGGGAGAAGGAGAGAATGTGTCACATACATGTGGGTTTCATCATATTTTATTTATTTTTATTTAGATTGAATTGACCTAACATGTGGATCCCACATTTGACTCAGCCCTAACGTCAGCCGAAACTAGGTACTTCCTCCGTTTCACGATGTAAGTCATTCTAACCGGCTGACATTAGGGCTGAGTCAAATGTGGGAAATGCTAGAATGAAACAGAGGGAGTACTGTATTGTCCTGAGACCTCAGCTGCGCTAGTCTTGCAAATTGAGAGCTAGTATAGCCGTTCAGGTACGAATTTCAAACTCAGCGTCAAGTTAAGGTACCAAATGTGAACTTATTCCTACATAGGGGCTGCACGTAGGTCATATACACGTTACAGACCAACAACTATGGCCCATGAGAATTCGGCCCTGGAATGTATAGCCCTTGTGAGGCCGTGTGGGCTGGGCCATGATGACGTTTCGGCCCATTTGCGATCATGCGTCCGATGGCGATGATAGGAAAGGCCACAGCCCACAGACAGGATTCGTACAAGTGTAACTACTCTGCATCCTCGTCAAATCGATCGGACGGCTACAGTTATCCGATCGATCTCCCGTACGGGTGTAAAACATCGAAGCACGCACATCCGCACACGCGTGTAGTGCCTACACAGTAATGCAATTGGGTACGTGTGTACGCGTACGTAGAAGGAAATTAAGGGGAAAAATCCTATCACTCCTAAACTATACAGTCCGTCCAAATTCAGTTCACGTCTATGTTCACATACTAATCGATCACTCCCTCCAAATTCAGTTCACAACTGTACAAAGGCATTCAAAAGCAGCCCAGTTCTCATTCCCAATCCATGCCCACGCGGTTTGTTGGAGTTTTGTCCCTAGACACAATCTCAACATGCCCACTCGTTTCTTTTTTTTTATTTGGGAGTGACAACTGCAACGCGTATCACTAATTCACTATGCCTATGTTTAGATTTAGGGTTAAACATTTTTGGCGTGTCACATCGGATATACGAACACATATTTAAAGTATTAAACGTAGTTTAATGACAAAACAAATTACAGAATCCGCCTGTAACCTGCGAGACGAATTTATTAAGCCTAATTAATCTGTCATTAGCAAATGTTTACTGTAGCACCACATTATCAAATTATGGAGCAATTAGGCTTAACAGATTTGTCTCGCAAATTAGTCGCAATCTATATAATTAGTTGTTTTCTATCTAATATTTAATACTTTATACATGTGTTTAAACATTCGATATGATAGGGTGAAAAAAATTAGGGTGAGATCAAAACAGGGCCTATATCAGTGAGCATAGTTCGTGCACAGTTCAAGTAACTCTCATCCCAGAAAAATAATATACTACGGTACTACCCCTTCCAGTCCCATAATGTCAAGATACGTAGCGAAATAACTACATTTTATAGGGTGAATAACAATATTATTTGTCCAGATACATGACTATAAATTACTAAATTTTGGACGGAGCAAGTAGTACTATCTCATTCCTAAAAATATAACAATAGAACTATTATCTATCCAAATACGTAACTAGAAATTACTCTATCAATATACCATAATCTTACGAAATCCTCATAGGAATTATGGTGACAAACTTGGTACTAGCTAATACTCCCTCCGTCTCGAAAAAAAGCAAGCAGGAAGGGTACAACGAATCTGGACAACCTTCTATCCAGATTGTTCAGATTAGTTGTACTATGTTTTTTTTTAACAAAGGGAGTATGCTTGAGGGGCCAGAACCTTGTCGGAGGGAACGTATTTGATGTCTTGCTTTATTCTATAAACTAAAACATGTCACCTACGTTATATATGCAATCTGTCCGATTATGATCTTATACAGTGTGTTTGGATATCCACATTCTTATATTATTTTGCTATAAACTTTATCTAGCTAACAAATTTGAAGTCACTTTTTTTATAACATACAGTAAAGTGATGAGTGTACGATGGTAAAACACCACAAATGCAGTAATAAATCAAACAAATACCACATAAAAATATAGCAAAATTTAGAAAACCATGGTGGGGGAATGAAAAACGCCACATAAGTTGGTTGATGTACATAATTAATCCCTAAAAAAACAATAAGCACAACCTCAAGTGCAAAAACAGAACATGGAGGGGAGCGACAAAAATGCTGGCCATCAAATCCTTCACATGTATGGTGCACTACTTTTTTAGAAACAAACACTTCGTGTGTGAGAAAAAAAGGCAGGTTTTCCCATCAACAAAGCGTGTTTTCTCACCTCCAAAATTAGCATTTGGCTCTAAACCTCCATCTTTTTCCTTCCTCTTTGCCACAACATCCATGTTACACTTAACCATTCACGCAGGGCCATTTGCCAATAATAAATAATCGTACGAGATTACGACACGCACCAAATTAATCTCCTAAAAACGGAAAGGCGCAGAGCAAGAAAAAGAACAAAGAAAAAAGTAATTAAGTAATTTACAGCGTTGGGGAAAAGAAATAATGTGCCTTTTTTTTCGCCTAAAAGAAAAACAAATTGCCATTTCTACCCCCATTTCGCAACCTGTTCCCACTATAAATTACCCATTCTGCCATCCTCTCTTTCTCTCTCTCCACGAGGATTCTTGTAAACCGCCGCCGCCGCCGCCGCCGCCGCCGCCGACCTCACCGCCGACGCCAACCACGGCCGCCGCGCGCTCGAGCCACCCTCTCATGGCGGAGAGCTACGCGCTGGAGATGGACGACCTGCACAGGCGGTGGCTGCCGAAGGAGATCCTCGACGACATTGGCTTCGCCGACGACGGCGACGCGCCCCCGCCCCCCGCCGCCATCGAGGGCCTCGCCGTGCACCTTGCCGGCATCCTCGGCAGCGGCGCCCGCAAGGCCGCCGCCCCGCCTCCGACCGCCGCCGCCTCCCCCGCCTCGTACCACAACCAACTCCACCGCGTGCCGGTGAGCGTGCGCGCGCGCGCGCGCTGCTGCTTCGTCTTCCTCCTCGCTTGGTTCCTCGTCCCGCGTTCTTCGCCTGATTCGTGGTTGGTTTGGTTTGCTTGCAGGTTTGCGGGCAGGTGCTCGTGGCGTACGGCGGCGCGGCGGGGTGGCCATTCACGCCGTACTCGTCGCCGGCGCAGTGGCAGGTGAGCGCAACACCGCTGTTTCTTCTCCCCTTCTCCGTTTTGGGGAATCCCCAATTTCACACGCGTTAAACCCTCCTCCCCCATTGCTTTTCTCACGCGTTTTTGCCGCTAGTAATTTAGAGTGCTCCTTCCAATCTGGAGGAGTAATTTCGATTCTCGCCGCCATTGCTCATGCCCGAGTTCGTCGTCGTCAACATCGGGCTATGGGTTATTGTTGCTGTGGGTGTTTCGCCGTAATAATCTCCGAGACAAACTCGGTGTCTCCGTTTGGGAAGAGATGATGATTAATCTGTTTTATTAGTAGTTGTTGCAGTTGCCTCTCATTATGATTCTTCTTCTGGTCTTATCATATTCTTTGGGGATTCTCTCCTTTTTGACTATTAATAATAATGGTGATTCTTCCCCGGTGCAGGTCGCGGCCGGTCTCGTGAACGGCGGCGCGGTGGACCACCGGCGGCGTCTCGGGTCCCCGCCGCCGAAGATGCGCGGCGGCGGCGGAGGTGGCACCGGCGTGTTCCTGCCGCGCACCTACGTGTACCACGCCAAGGAGGAGTCGCCGGCGCCGGCGGCGACCAAGGCCTCGTCGAGAGGTAACGCATTCTCGTGTCTCGTGTCGTTCGCCTCCTCGGACTTCGTGCTGAGCTGGCGATGAATCTGATGAATCCTTCCAAAGTTGGTTTCATCCGCCGATTATGCTTTCGAAAACCCCAAAATTAATGGAAACAAATCGCATGATTAGGAGTACATTCATGGCGGTTGGGGTGGTGATCGATGCGTCCTCCAGCCTGCGCTGCACTGCAGAAATGCTGGTTTTTCGTACTTTTCGAGCAGTGTGAGACAGACAGACAGTGACGACGCAATTAATGATGCCTACTGTACCAAGCAACCATGCAGCAACAGCAGCCAGGCCGCCTCATGTTCCTCTCCCTGCCAAATGCAGATTTTTTTAAAAAATGAGAAATATTTTAAACACAGTAATTAAAAACTGTGGAGAAAAAAAACCTGTGGGCTCATCAATCAATGCATTGGGGGGTGGATATTGGATACTGTTCCATCGGATGCCTGCTGTTGCATTGCATTGCATCGCATGCATGGATGATTAACTTGCTGCCAAGATGACATGTGCATTCTGTTTGCTCTTTCTCATGTACTGTAAATGATGATGACAATGTTAATGACAATGTTGCATTTATGCAGATGGGAAAGCGTCCAATGATCTCCTCGTGGAGGAGCAGCAGAAGCAACCAGGACAAGGCGAGGAGGAGGAGGAAGGGTCACCGGCGGCGAAGGCGAAGATCGAGCAGCAATGCCCGCCGCCGATGACCGGAACTGCCTCGTCGGAGGTGATGCGGGTGTGGCCGAACGCGGCGGCGGCGGCGGCGTTGCCGGAGCTGGCGGCGCTGCCTCAGGAATGGACCTACTGATCGATGGCGTTGATGAGATGATGGCGAAGAAAGGATCAAGGGGAGGAGGAAGAGGAGGCGTAGATGGGAGATTGAGATTAACTTAGGTTATCTAGTGTCATTTAGTAAGGAATAAAAAACGATGAAGTAGCAGCATCAGCAGCAGGAGCAAAAGGGTAGTAGAAAGAAAGAAGGAATAAATGGGAGTATTACTAGTGGTGGTAGATGCATGGGATAAGCTGCTTTGATGGAGGGTAGTCAGTAACTCAGTAGTGGTGGTTTAGCAAGTTAAACCGTTGTTACTTTGCGTCGATCGTCTCTTCTTGTTAAATCTAGCAACTTCCAGGAATAAAAAATGGTCGTAATTTACCGACAACTTTTGCCCTTTTATTTCCAGTAGTGCTACAGCGCATTGGAGTACTTGCACACCCGTTTCTGCATACAGTATGGGGGCTATCTGTATCTGCAGCACCGTGGCGGAAGTGGAACGCACGGGACAGGGGCAGCACAGCATTGAATCCTAATCTGCATGCTGCAGCGAGCCAGCGACACATCGGAGTAGTACAGTAGTATTCCACTTTTCCAGGTACATCAGCACGATATAAGCCAGCTGTAAACTTATTTTAAGAAGATAAATGAAAAAGAAAAGCAACGGGCTACAGATTTATAACCAGCTGTAACACGGACTCTAAGATACAGTGTGTATTACAGGTGGGACCATATATTAATAGTGTATTATGTAACTATTGTAACACGGACTCTAAGATACAGTGTGTATTACAGGTGGGACCATATATTAATAGTGTATTATGTAACTATTGTATGAATGAGCTATTAGATTAGCTATAGATGAATTAGAGTTAGTAGTTGGTTACACTATTAAACTTGCTCTTATAAGCCAGTTTTTATAATTTTTATTTTTAAATTATTTTTGTGATTTCTATAGCATTTTTTTATAATCATTAACTACGCGTATATAAAATAAAACTTTAGTTACAAATTATATTTTATTGATAATAAATGGTTTAGATATACATTTGTTACTTTATCCATCACAAAATATAACAACTTAGGGCTCCTTTGAATTGGAGGAAAAACGCAGGAATTTTGGAGGATTTCAATCGTATAGGAAAATTTCCTATGAAGCCCTTTGAAACAAATGATTGAATCCTATCCAATCCTTTGAAATTCCTATAGAATAGACAATCCTATAGAAATTTTGGAGGAAATTTAGCAAGAGCTTTAACCTCTTGGTAACTTTCTTTTGAGTCTATCTCTCTCATCCAATTCCCGTGTTTTTCCTACGGTTCAATCAAACGGTCATTCCTGTGTTTTTCCTACGTTTTGCAATCCTTTGTTTTACAATTACATTCCTATCAAAATCCTACGTTTTTCCTATTCCTACGTTTTCTCAATCCTGCGATTCAAAGGGGCCCTATACTCCTATTTCCTATCCAAATGTCTCATCTGGTTCACGTTTACTATATTATATAACGGAGAGAGTACCATTTAAAATTTATCTTAAAATATACAAATATTATCATTCCAACTTAATCACAACCCTCTATCATTTCTTAACCAATTATCACATCTTTTCATTTAATTTTACTATTTTTCTTAATAACCGTATTTAATTCTAGAATTTTTTTTATATTAGGTTATGTTAAGTTATTATGGAACTGATTGAGCAGTACTACTCCATGTAAGAGAAAAGATAGGACCGTTCACTTCTCCTTTTCTCTTCACTGCATGCAGCAGAGTTCAGACAAAGGAGCCTTGCGTATCACTTGCCCCACAGTCCGGTCAAAAGCGATGCGTTCGTATTCTTTGGCCGCGCATGTTCCTCTTTCTCCTCCCATTGCTGTGTGAGATGAGACAAGACAAGACAAGGCTCAGGGCTATTTGATTTGGAGAAAAAATATAGAAATTTTAGAGGATTTCAATCCTATAGAAAAATTTTCTATAAAGCCCTTTGAAACAAAAGATTGAATCCTATCTAATCCTTTGAAATTCCTATGGAATGGACAATCCTATAGAGATTTTGGAGGAAATTTAGCAAGAGCTTCAACCTCTTGCTAACTTTCCTTTGATTCTATCTCTCTCATCCAATTCCTGTGTTTTTCCTGTGGTTCAATCAAACGGTCATTCCTGTGTTTTCCTGCGTTTTGCAATCCTCTATTTTACACTTACATTCCTATTAAAATTTTATGTTTTTCCTATTACTACGTTTTCTTAATCCTACTATTTAATGGGGGCCTCAGTAGTCAGTGGTAGTGCAGTACAGTGGCAGCAGCAGCCTACTACTACAAGAGGAGGGGGGCATTGATCTCCGTGGATCTTCCGTGACACGCCCCCCTTGTTCCAAGGTGGTGGCCTAAATTAGGGATTAAAGATTAAAGAAATATGGTTTGTTTCGTTAAGTGTGAGAAGGAAGCATGGGCATGACATGAGAGGAGGAATACTTGCTGCCGTGGGAGGAACATATGTTTGTTTATTAGTACTCCCACTCCGAAGTAATCCCACTAGGGTTTATTATATTACTTGTATAAAAGAGATCGTAGTCGGATTAGATATTTTTTACTGTGTAGATTCGTTGTATTAGAAAATAGAGAAAATTTGAACCATGCCACATAAATTTTACAAAATTTATGATATGCCACCTTGACCCACATGTTATTGACTCATGTGGGTCCTATATATCATTGAGATACGGGTAGCATATCTTAAATTTTGTAAAATTAGGGTGGCATAGTTCCAACAAACCCTATAAAATATTCTATTCATTTAGGATCCGTTATATGTTAGAACGGATAGAGGCCTTGTTTAGTTCTAAATTTTTTTTTCAAACTTTCAACTTTTTCATCACATCAAAACTTTCCTACACACATAAACTTTCAACGTTTCCATCACATCGTTCCAATTTTAACCAAACTTCTAATTTTGGCATGAACTAAATACACCCAGAGTATTTCGGTGAAATCTGGTTTATATTTAGGGTGTGTTTAGTTCCTGAAAAAAGTTAGAATTTTGGGGAAAGTTGGGAGTTTGAAAAAAAAAGTTGAAAGTTTATGTGTGTTGAAAAGTTTTTGATGTGATATGATGTGATGGAAAGTTGAGAATAGGGGGGAAACTAAACACGGCCTTAGTAAAATTCAGACTTTTCGGATCAGGTTGAAAACACAAACCGTTTGGTTTTAAATTTCGGGGCGACAGAGTTGACGTGTGGGCACCACCGATGATGAGAGATGCAAATGGTGATTGATAATGAGTAGTGGCGGAGCCAAGAATTGATCACGCCTAAGGCCGAGTAGGGCTGACTTGATATGTTCTTAGCAAATATCTTTATATCTTCAGCTTTTCACAGTATTTTGCAAAAGATTTTAATGGGAATTTAGTCCTAAGCCTAGGGCTCAAGCCCTAATTGCCCCACCCTTGTCTCCGCCCCTGATAATGAGAGAGAGGGCATCTCGTCATGCCTAATGCGGAGAAGTGAGAAACTGGAACAAAAGTCATAGTTTAAGGGGGTGTTTGGGATACTTTAGTCTCTTTCTCTAAAAAATAAGTCGGGATTTATTTTTTGGAGCTCTCTCCCAAACACCCCCTAAGTTCTCTAAAAAAACCATGGTTTAGATAAAATTAAATCAGCCTTACCCTTTTCTTATGCACTTGCTTCTCCCAACCATTTATCAGGAGTACTTGCTTAGCCCTCTTACCCCATAAAAATCAACTCTGAAAAATTTTAAAATCTATAATTTGGGACCCTAAAAAGAAAATTTCTTAGAATTATGTAGGATTTTGATTCAAAACTACGATTCGAATCAAAGGATTATGTAGGAATTTCGTAGGACTCAAATCCTATAGGAAATTTTCCTATTTAGGGCCCCTTTGGATCAAAGGATTTATGTAGGAATTTCATACGATTCAAATCCTATAGGAAATTTTCCTATTTGGCCCTTTGATTCAAAGGATTGAAGCTTTCCAAATCCTATGAAATTCCTATGGAATGACACATTGTATGTGGATTTTGGAGGAAATTTAGCAAGAGTTCCAACCTCTTGGAAAATTTCCTTTGAGTCTATGTCTCTCTCATCCGATTCCTGCGTTTTTCCTGCGCTCCAATCAAACGACCATTCCTGTGTTTCTCCTGTGTTTTGCAATCCTCTGTTTTACACTTCAATTCCTGTCAGAATCCTGTGTTTTTCCTGTTCCTCCGTTTTACGCTTCAATTCTTGTCAGAATCATTTGTTTTTCCTATTCCTCCGTTTTTTCTACCCTACGATTCAAATGGGGCCTTAGCTTACAAAAATAAGCATAGCGTGATGAACAGCGAGATATGCGGATAAAACAATAGATGATGTCGGGAACAAATTCTCTAATTAAGGTTGTATTTGGTATCCATATTTTTTAACTCATCTTCATCATTTTTCGTGCGGACACTTTTCAAACTATTAAACGTTATGTTTTTTTTAACTTTTTTTATAGGAAAGTTGTTTTAAAAAATTATATAAATCTATTTTTTTAAAAAAACTAAAATAACCCCAACTCCACCGGGGCGTAACAGAAGAGGAACAAGGCAGGCAGGCAGCGGCATCCCAGACTTGTTGCAGCAAAAAGTGTTTTTTTCCCCCTGTGGTTGTGCGGTGGCCATGACGTAGCGGTTTTGTGGGCGGAAGGGCGGCGAAAGCGGCGACCACCGTACGTACTTTAGTTGGTCCCACCACACAGGATCAGCACCCCCCAAGTACGGTAGAGAGGCACATCGATGATCCGTGGGACCATCCGAGTCCGAAAGGCAAATGCACGTATAACAGGCGGGCCCCATGGAAAATACATGCATGCATTTGTCGGGGGGCCTGGGGGGTGGTAGTGAACTGACCTTCCCCTGCGCACCTTCCGGCTACTTTATCCCTGATGATTTTGCGTTGATGTAAAATATATACACGAACCATTATATCGAGGGAAGAGACGCTAGGATTATAAGTGGGGGTTTGTCCATGAACCCGCTTATATTAATGAGTAACACGTGAGTTTTGACTCGCGGGTTACCTATTAATTTGACATATAAATAAGTCTATAGATCGATCAACTTGCATCTCTAAATACGGCAAACCGGACCACAACACAAAAATCCATTAGTTATCATCTATTTGACTTATAATTAAATTCACGGGTTAACCCATTTGCATCCTAAGAGACGTCGACGGGGAGAGAGGAGCGGTGCCACCGCGGGGCTTGTCGTGGCCTCCTCCTTTGCGTGGCTGCTCGCGGCCTCCTAATTCCACTCGATTCGACGCCTAAGATGGCCGCCGCCATCGACCGCCGCCGGAGAAGGGAGAGGCTGTTGACGGGGAGAGGGGGGAGAGGAGTGGCATCACC